CCTTCATGTTCTCATCTCATATGGGTGTTGCAGAAGTGGGGGCAGACTAATCTCTATGAATTGTAACTTATCTTGCACAGTTGGCTGGAGCTGTGTGCTGGTCTTGCTGGGTGTGGACACGATGGGACCCCTCTGACTGGTAATGGCACCCTAGTTCCATTACTCGAGATGAGGCCCCTTCAAGAATTCACTTGTGGATGTGTCTTGTGCAGCCTCCAGCATGTATTCAGCGGGTGGACTGGTATGCAATATAAATGTACAGGTACTCCTAGAATGAGATCCTAATAGGTTGGACTTGATGGACTAATGTCTTTATTCAACCTCAAATACTATGTAACTATGCAACTGCGTCTTTAGCGTTCACACACAAGACCAGAACTTTGAATTATTGGTTTGTATTTTGGCCATGTAAGCTCCACACCTGTACTGATTTATCCTAAAGGGGACCTGTCAGAATAAACATGGGAGCCGCCTTTGCTGACTTCATTTTAAAGAGGACTCTGGGGCTGCCATCTTAATGAGCCACTGACTTTGCTGTCATAAGAACATTATGGGGCTTGTTTCCAAATGTAAGGCCACCTCCCTTGTGTCATGACTGGGAAATACAACATCAATAATTGGTACATTATTTCTAGTTCCGAATGGCCTAAAGCCCATAGCTTGCAACTACAAAACCCTGAGGCCAGGACATAAGGGCGAGCGCTACCCTAAGATGGCCACTGCAGACCATAGGCTAGTTTCCATTTTGTGCCCCTACACAATTCTTCATGGAATCTTTGTCCTTTTTACCCTGGCATAGCCTAAGTACACCAGCCCTCCGTGTCAGAATAGAACCCACTCAGAGTTCCATGTACCTCTTAAGCTTCCCAGCCCCCCATAGAATGTCTAGTTGTGTTTTCCCATAACTTAAATTCACTCCAAACAATGGTCACATTACAGAAGGATGAGTAGATGCTCTTACCAAAATGTCACAACATTCAGAGGCCTTGATTCCTGAGTAATGGAACTGGTGCTCACCTGGAAGGAAACCATCTGGCTCATTGGACTTTCTCCCATGACTCATGGCTGCTTCCCCCAAATGACGTACTCAACAGGTAGAGGTGCAGGATAATTTGTGGCCCATGGTGACAGGGAAAACCAGCCACATACTCTGTGGGCCACTCTGCTTTCCATTCCACCCTCTAAGCTCCCAGCCACCTGCCCTCCTATAACATAGGATGAGGGACCATGATGGGCAAATTTAAAGAACTAAACCGTCTGCCACAGCTGACTTCTGTTTGGGGCTGTTGGCTCTCGTGCTGATTTTGACTTCTAAATTTCTGTCCTGTAACAATTGTGGAGATTAGGTGAGAAATTGGCACTCCTTTTTATCCCGTGCTTGTAACTGAAGAGCATTGAAGTAAGGCAAATAGCATTTGCAAGGGGGTCCACAATGGTACTTTTCATACCTTCTCCATAATGTCACTATTGGGTATGTGGTTCAGGCTAAGACTCAAGATTTCTGGCTGCCTGCCTATTCTAGCACAGTAATTTGGTATATCAAAGTAAGGATGATGGTCAAAGAGCCAAGACCCTCTTAGGAGTCTGCACATAAGACTCCATATTTAGGCTCCAAGTACCTTGGCTGCCCAGTTCTTGCTCATGATGGTGTAGTAAAAGACTTATTATTTATTATTACTACATAGTATTTTATATAGTGCCAACAGTTTGTGCAGCGCTTTACAATGTAAGGAAGACATTGCAATGACAAGACAAGATGGTAAGGAGGGCCCTGCCCCTGAGGGCTTACAATCTGAAAGAGGAGGGGGCCAGTGATATATGAGGAGGTAGATGTGTGGGGATGAATGGTTCAGTGGTTAGGTTGAGGTGGGATAGATGGACAGGTTGGGGTAAAGAGTTCCACCAGAGGATGGGAGAGACTCTAGAGAAGTCCGGGAGGAGTTGACTAGGGAGCTGGAAAGCAGGAGGTCTAGGGAAGAGCGGAGTGGATGGTTAGGGTGATATTTTGAGACAAGACAATTCTAATCCATCCCACTTGTTTCTCTGTCCAGCTGCTGAGGAGGTCTGCTACAACAGGCTGGGATGTTTCATAAACGGCCCCCCCTATTCTGACACGCTGGAAAGACCGATCAGTCACTTACCATGGCCACCAGGAGTGATCGACACTCAATTCCTGCTCTTCACTAGAAGTAACCCTGACCAGTACCAAGTAAGTCTGTAAATCTGGCTGTACAGGGGAGAGGGAAGGTTCCCCCACCAGCATGTAGAACTAAATGAATACCCGTCTGATTTTGGTCTGTTCCCCCACTGGGTAATTAACCCTCATTGTTCCAGTCAAATCTCAACATGAGAATGTATGCTGGTGAAAATCTCCCACTAGGGACCCCTGTTTGATGGAAGTGACTTCCCTCACTGTCTCTGGGACAATAAATTCGAGATTTTAGTGGAACCAACCCCAAAAACCAAGTATTGTCTCTGGAAACGCTTAAATGTCAAAGCCTCAATACACGCTGTAGGGACAGGTTGTAGAAAGCATCACAATGCAGTTGCCCCACATGCTGAATAATTGGCTTTCTCAAGGTTTGAAGGGCTGATATCACAATGAACGGCACGTGCTCTATTGACATGCGTTGTGGCAGGGTTAATGAATAGGCAGAAATGCACACTCTCCAGAGCAGGGCGCTTTTATTTTTAGTGCCATGACACGTGTAGCATTGGTGGTATTGCAGCACACGTCTAATGGAGTGTTCACAATGATATGGCAGTGCACCAACACAACTTGATGTATGAGGTGGTATGGTCCGTTTGCATATCTGAGGGAGGGAAGAGGTCACCACAACCTAGACATGTGGTCATATTTATTAAGCTTGTAGATTAATGATCTGTTCAGACTTGCCAGGGGACTTCTGAGCTGCACAGGGCGCGCAATATGTAATGAGCAAATGTGGCAGCTCCATGACCTTTCAGTTTAGCTGAACCCATTACAAGAAATTGTCTTTCATTACTAGCCAGTAGACATGTGCGTTTTCGTTACGAATCAAAATTCGTACGAATTTTCCTGAAATTCGTAGATTCGTAAGCATCCGAATTATATCCGAAATTCCGTTAACGAATTTCGGATCCGAATTTCTTTGAAACGAACTAATATTATCCCTGTAAATGGGGTTGAACAACATGACAAGATTTGTTTTTTTAATCCGAGATACGGATCCGCTGCTGCTGAGAGTTGTATTACAATACACAGGCAGGAAATACCAAATTCCGTTGACGTATTTTCGTTCCGTTACGAACATTCGTTATATATTGAAGGTAAAAAACAAAGTACATTTATATTGGAGTTGATGGTAGTTTTTTTTTAGTCCGAAATACGGAATCCTTTAACGGAATTCGTATTTCTGATACAAAAACAACTACCACATCGACTCCGATATTAACAAAGGTATCTTTGCTTTTTAACTTCATCATAACGAATGTTCGTAAAGTTACGAAAATGTGACGAAACTAACGCAAATTCGTATTTCGTACGAATCCGAATTGAGCTTCGGATACGAATTACGAAATAACGTATATTACGAAACGGAACAAATTTTTTGACGGCACACAAGTCTACTAGCCAGCTCTCTGGCCGTTGTGATCCTCTAGTATCCATGACCTGAAACCTGTTTCATTGTAATAGGAGCGGTCAGGAAATAGAATTTTGGAATTTCACTAGCTTGGTCTTGATGTCACTTTTAAAATTTTTAACTTGCGTTCCTTAAACTGCACTTTTGGGTCTTGCCAAGCTTTTGGCACATGGCCTACCACCAGGACACGTCTGTCACAAAACATGAGAAGCCTGGGGTGCCAGCTGGAAGTTGTGTTTTTTTTAAATCTTAGAACTTGTGTTCAAAATTTTGCCTGCATGTTATTTTAGACCTGGATATTAAAGAGGATTATAAATTACTAATGGTATAGCTGTACTCTGAAGACAATACATTCATCATATGATGTGCTCTAAAGCTGGTCACTTGACCTGATAGTCATGTAACTGGCTCTACTCCTAGCATCTGTCAAGCAGAGAACTCCATGAGGTACCAGAGTCCTGTGGCCAGCATTTTATAATTGGGCTACAAAAGTGAGTAATACTGCTGGGCTTCCCATGTGTGCTTAGAAAAACATGGCACCCTCTTCACAAAGCCTTTCCAACTCTTGGGAGCCCACATAAAACCCATTACAGCCTTAAAGGAGAACTATGGGGTCAGGGCTTTTCCCCATAGTTCTCCTAAGGGTAACGGGAGGACACGAACTAGCGTCCCCCCGTCACCCTAAGCTCAGACTATTGCTGTTATCCGACTGACTATATCCTCGATCAGTGAGATCCATCACAAGGGGAACATCTTACTGCCGACAATTATATTGAGTTAATTGCAGCTGTCCTTCAATCTTCTGTTAAAGGAGAACTATGAGGTTAGGGCTTTTCCCCATAGTTCTCCTTAGGGTAACGGCAGGACACAAACTAGCGTCCTCCCGTCACCCTAGGCTCAGTATATAGGGAGCTACAGCTCGCGGCATACTGAGACGCCGGAACGGATCCCGACAATTATGTCTGGATCCGCACAGCTGCGTGAGTGACAGCTGGCTCTGCCTATCTAGAGGCAGCCAGCTGTACCCGCCCCCTCCCCCGTCTGTTCTCGCCTGTCAGCGCTGGGGGAGTGGGAAATCCAGTCCCTCCCTGTCTTGGCTCTCTGCTGGCACAGGATCGAGAGGCGAGCGAGCGCCGTTATGTGTTCTCTCACTTCCCGATCTACTGAGCCGACCTGTGACAGTCATTGTCACAGGTCAGCTAGAACTGAGGCTGAGGAGTGAAAATCACTCGCCTCATAGTTCTCCTTTTTAAAAACCCCAAATACTCTTCTCCATTCCCGATGACTGAATGCATTTTGCTGAATGCATTTTGCTGAATGTGATTTTTTTTTTTTTTTTTTTTTTTTTTTTGGCCCCCCAAAAAAAAACATTTAGCTGATCCTCAGTAGTTATGGGGAGTGTAGGCAAACCAGCACTCGCAAGGGGATCCAGTACTTTATTTGCAAAAAAGGCATAATGGCAAAAAAAGCATGCTTACATGTTTCAGCCCCCAAACAAGGCCTTGGCTATAGATTTGGCTAAGATATATTACTGGATGGATCCCCTTGTGAGTGCTTTGTTTTGTTTTTTTTTACCTATTCCGTGAAGGCTCCGGTGGAAGCTTTTACCAGGCACTGAGGTTTAAGCAGCGGGATTGGGAGACAAGAGGGTAGAGCTGGTGCATGTTTCTAAACTGCTTATGAGAATTGTATCTGAATATCTCTTCCAGGTGATCAGAGCTCTCAATGTCTCCTCAGTCTTTGGCACCAACTTTAAGCCCAGTCTGAAATCTTTATTCATCATCCATGGCTTCCTGGAGATGGGGGCCAAGCAGTGGCTTGTAGACATGTGTCAGGTAAGTGTGGCTGTAGGGAAGAGGACCTGACTGTTCTCAAGTCTGACCTGTTTATATGATCTGCTCTGTTGTAGACTCTTCTGAAGGTCTCCGATGTGAACTGTTTCTGTGTAGACTGGCGCGGAGGATCATTTGCCCTCTACACACAATCTGCCAACAATGTCCGTGTGGTTGGGGCAGAGATTGCCTATTTCTTGGGCTTTCTTCAGGTATGTGCCATGATGGCAAGTCCAGGAGCTTGGACTGGAGCTTGTGGTTTCACCATCTGTTTCCTGACGGAAATGTAATTGTGAAGTTTTATAGTAATATAGGCAAATGAGAAGTTGCCTTAGAAATGTCCATCCTGGTAAGTCAACTGATAGTTCTCCTCTCTCTCAGGCAGTGTATGACTACCACATGTCTGATGTCTACCTGGTCGGGCACAGCCTGGGGGCACACATTGCTGGTGAAGCTGGAAAGAGACTGAAGGGAATTGGAAGGATTTCTGGTAGGTGGGGGCAGAGTTCCTGGTGCTTTGAGATTATTGTCAGTTGGTTTTGGCATCAACGTAAAGGGCCAGCAGGTGTATAAATTTGGCCAAGCTAAGTGGCTTCTTACTGCATGTTTGATTACCAAGCTGTGACTTGGTAAGATAGCCGAAACTATACAGTCAAGAGCTTTAAAGCTGAACAGTCAAATGACTAAACACAGATTGAAATGGATTCAGATCAATAGCCTGAGTATCTGTTCCCGTCCTAATTGTCATACGGTGCACCGTAAGAATCACACAGACACAAGGAGGTCTATGACGCTTCTGTTTATTATGCTAAGGCACAAAGGTTTTTATAGGCAAGCAGCCAGTGCTGTGTGCCAAGGTCATGTGAGCGTAGCGTTATAAGCTTCTGATTGGTTATGTCCATATAAAGTAAACTTCCTCCAGGAGCTAAACATCGTTATCTTGGGTGTAGTCCTGAGAGGAGGCGCCATCTTAGTTTCTTGTTTTTCACACGATGGGAGGGGGTGCAGATAGAGAAGTCATTTTATCAAGGAATGTAGAAAGAGAGTGTGTGTGTGTGTGTGTGTGTGTGTGTGTGTGTGTGTATGTATATGTACAGAAAATTGTATACTTACCTATCGGTAATTTTCCTTTCCTGATGCCAGTACATGGCAGCATACAATGGGTATGGCTCCGCCCCCAGCCCAATCACAGGACCAGTTATACTATAAATTAAAGCCCGCCTCCCAAGGCCACCATTCTCGTAACAAGTACTCAATGCGTAACAAGTACTCAAAGCCATGGGAGGGTCCTGTATGCTGCCATGTACTGGCATCAGGAAAGGAAAATTACCGATAGGCAAGTATACAATTTTCCGTTTTCCTGACACCGTACATGGCAGCATACAATGGGATATAGCGATCACACAAACGGGGAGGGTAATTCTGAGATAATAAATTATTTGTAACACATTCAGAACCAACTTCCCCATGGATCTTCCTCCTGGATAGACCCTGTAATGGAACAGGAACATATGGCAGGTTACTGCCTTCCAGATACTCTGAGGAACAGTGCGGTCAATAGGGCTGAAAAACTTACATGCATTGCACGCTCTTTTTTTATTTTATCTTCATACATACCTGACCCTCACCTTTTATAGAATGTAGCTGGTCTCTTGGGGAATGAGGTTAGGTAACTGACACATGATCCAACCTTACAAAACACAGATGAAACTGAGGATAATGATGTGATTAACAGAACCTGCTAGACACTAACAGCCATGCTGAAAACCTGGAAGCCACATACTCATGTGCTTAGGGTTATAGCACCACAAGCTCTGGTCATTAACACAATGCTGTATACATGGGACCATGAAAAGATTACTGAATTACAGGCAGGATAGGCCTGTAAGAAGCAACAATACCATAAGTTACATTTAAACATTAACAACGCTTGGGGAACCACAGGTGACAGCAAAATACTCACATGAAAGGCACCCAAAGAGTTAAGGCTCAAGAGTTAGCAAACAACACATTTCTGTAAGATCTAGTTAAGCTTTAGCAGCAGAGCACATGGCAGCAGCCTGCACTCAGCAAGCACCTGCAGGGTAAAGCACCACAAGCAAGCTAATGGATGTTTTAGGCAAATACCTGCAAGATTCAGCTAAGGCATTAGCAGCACCACAGAATCACATATGTAAGGTTGTAAGCACACATAGAAAACTGGCTCTACAGATATTCAGAAAGATTCAGCCAGAGCAAGGCAGCACTGCAAGGCCACAGGAAACAGTAGCACATGTATTTCTAAAACCAACTAATTGAAAGAAAATGGAGTGGATCCTACTAGTCAGCTTGTCCATGCATGTGATCATCCCAGTACAACCATAGTTTGTGATGATGCAGCTGAGTCACGGTTCTTCTCTGGAGTCACCAGGCCAGGAGGCTAAGCAAGTGTTCAACCCACTGCCATGATGGAGGAAGCATCCGAACATGAAGAGACCCCAAGAGACCATTTCCTGCACCCCAACTCCAAGGCTATGGGGGAGGCTTCCCTTATCAGACTGCATTTAGCCACCTGAACAAAGGGAACTTCGCAACAGGAGAGGCTGAACCTGTGCGGCAGGCCAGAAGAAACCAGCAAGGTGAGGGAAAAAACTCCAACCTATTCTTAGTATAACCGGCTTGAGCAGTGAGGACAGAAAAAAGAATGGTGGCCTTGGGAGGCGGGCTTTAATTTATAGTATAACTGGCCCTGTGATTGGGCTGGGGGCGGAGCCATAACCATTGTATGCTGCCATGTACGGTGTCAGGAAATATATATATAAGTGAATATGAGCCTGCAAACATTTAGGGCACATCTCCTTTTAATGCCTGAGTGGCTTTTGGTTATTGAATTGGGGCATCCGGATATGAATGCATGGAATGCACTTGCAGAACCTTTGCAAAGCGGCTCAGCTTTTACATTGGGTGCTGTAGTGACCTGTGTTGGGAGTGCCATTCAGAATGACTAGCATGGCAATGCCCAAGTTGGGTAATACTGCTAGGAAAGTAGTGTGGGGTGTGTTGTATAATTTCAGATTTTATTTTGTTTCTCTCAATATCGCAGGATTGGATCCAGCTGGTCCCTACTTTGTAAACACCCCACCGAGTGTGAGATTGAGCCCTACAGATGCCGTCTTTGTTGATGCCATTCACACAGATGGGTCACCTACACTTGTAAATCTTGGTAGGTTTCGGCTTCTGAAGTGTAGAACATCTCATTCCAGAGTGCTTAAAATGGCAGCCAACAAAGGGAATAGATGGGATGACCTGAGGTCCATGTGCTGTAGAACTGCCTGCCTGAGCATATTGGGAGTAAAGTCCACACAACAGGTTTGCACAAGTGGCAATTGGACCATATTTATTTTAGGTCTGGAATTGACACTAACAAGCAAACTCTTGCCACTTTCAGTTTTTGGCCTTTTTCAGATCTCCCATGCTGCTTTGCATGCACTCCTCTCCTCCAGTAGGCCAATCAGAGTTGCTGTTGCATGAATCACTTTTGTGCAGCACTTGAAACTAATACATTTAATGTTTGTTCAATGTCCACTAAGAATTTATATACTGGTTTGTGAATGAAACCAGTATATACCAGAACCAGAAAATGAGTTGGCTACATACACCAGCCCTTCTACTGGTTAGACCCCGGCCGTGGGTGCAGTGGCTCCCTCCCTCCATCGCCTCTCTGCCCGGCCGCACGATTACAGAGCCGCATCTGTAGCGGTGCAGGTGGCGGAGGGAGGGAGCCACTGCACCTGCGGCCAGGGGCTTAATTTAGTG